ATCCTGGGGCGAGGAGAAAACACCACGCCGTGGTCACACTCAACTTGCCCGGTTCTTCTGAAGGCTATGGTTGGGGCAATGTGTCCCATTATATGTGTCCCACATATGACAGAGAACCAGCACAGATGCCATTCAGGGTTCTCTGTCTGCAAGAGGCAAGGCAGGGAGAGAAAGTGAATAAATCTAGAGGTTTGCATGATGTTGGCACAAATTGTTGAATTCAGGGGAAAAAATGTGATGGGGTGATGGTTATGAGTAGTGGTTTTTGGCAATGGGGATGATTTATTACAATGGCAGTTGTCGTGATGCTCAAGGAGATGATGGAGGTGTTGACAGTGATGTAGAATTGTGATAAGAATGTGGTAGAAGAATAAAGGTGGTGATGGCGGTGGTGATGGAGCTGGTGATGCCGAGACAGTGTGATGACCGAGGTGACAGTGGAGGTGATGGTGCTGAGTTGAGGGTGAGGCCCGAATCCCTGTCAAACAGGCCCATCGTCCTGACCGGAAGAGCTGACAGCAGCAGGCATCACTTGTCTCCATCCCCGGGCAGGACTTGTTAACATGTCTGTGTAACAAGCTAACAGCAGAGCTTTTCTTGGAAAAAAACATGCTTGTAAACCAAGGTTTGACTCTAAGCACCTCCACTAGTCTTGAGCCAGTGCCTGTCACCCAGATAGGAGAGAATTTCCAACGCCCCTGGACTTCACAGTGGCCCTCTGGCCTGGCCATCCAGGGAGGGTCCCAGAGAGGACAATACCCATCAGTGGAAGAAAAGGTCACTTTGCATGTTGGGAGAGAGACCAGTTTGGGGGGCGGAGGTTGATATTAAAGGTTAGGACAGGACCCCGAACAACTCAACCATCAAGTTCCAGCTCCAAACTCACCTTCTCTGAGAAGACCTCCCTGATTGCCTCTAGGCTGGGTAGGCCCATGGTGGTCTCCCCAACACTCCCATAGCACCTTCTTAGTCCATGATTATGACACAATATTTTATAACATTTGACCTGTGTATGTCTCCTGTATAGACCAAGCTGTCATTAAGGGCCGGGGACCAGAGCTTCTTGTTGGTAGAACCCACGATCTGGCACACACTCTAATGCAGGGTGGAGGTCAGTGAGTCTAGGTCAAGGGTTATTTATATAAAGAGTGGGATCTGGCTTTGCCTGCTTCCTCCCTGATTGTCAGCTGATGGTCAGCTCAGGCTGCTCTAGCAAAATACCCTAGACTGGGTGGCTTCAACAGCAGACATATATCTCTCAGAGTTCTGGACTGAAGACTGAGACCAAGGTGCCAGCTGCTTCAGTTACTGATGAGGGCTCTCTTCACAACCTGAAGATGGCCTCCGTCTCTCTGTGTTGTCACATGGCAGAGGGAGGGAGGGAAGGAGGGAGAGAGACTGCGAGACTTCTGGTTTTTCTTCCTGTTTTATGAGGACACTGATCCCATCATGGGGACCCCAACCTCATGACCTCAACTACCCTAATTATCTCCCAAAGGCCCCATCTCCAAGTACCATCACACTGAGGCTTAGGACTTCCACATATGAATTTGGGGGCGGGGGGGGACACAAACATTCAGTCCAGAGCACTGCACGTCTCCTTTGGGAAGCCAGACAGCAGTGGTTCAGAAAATAGGCCCAGTTTTGTGCAAAAGCTGGACAAGCTGGGGCCAAAGCGGGCAGCAGAGAAGTGGGTGAGGACATCCTCGGGGATTCTCTGCGCAGTGCTGCCTCCTGCTCTGGGCTGCCTGTCAGCTGACCTCCTCATCAGCAGGACCTTGCTGGGCCTTTAACAAGCTCCGAACTTCTTAATTGATGGCCAGGG